AAAGATTCATGGAAACAATTAGCCCTAGCAACTGGTACACCATGTGAGTCACAGCCTATACAATTATGAGACCAAAGGAACTAGATGGTACCCAGCTACTACTGTCAACCACTCAGAGTGGGATCTATATAGGAGATCCTGGATAGAGAGGGAGAACAATATGTAACAAGACTCAAAATAATTTGGGGTAAAAAGGAGGGAGGGACCAGGTTTGCTGGTCTGATAGAGCCTGGTGGAACTACCGAGACTATGGTCCCTAGCTGCCCTTCAGGTCTGGAATTGAACCCACACCTGTGGCTTCCAGCCAAACAAAAGACAGGCATATGAGTTGAACATTTACCTGAGGTAGATAGACTCCTTGAAGAGAACAATCATGGGAGAAAGAAAGGCTGTTTATGCACAGGGAGACAGCTCTGGGGACAGGAGTGCATAGAGGGAAGGACACAAGGAAGAGGTAACTATCTGGAGGAAGTGTTGTTGTTATGTGCTGTCAAGTTGAACCCAACTCCTAGCGACCCCTCCTTGGGTTTCCGAGGCAGTATCACTACGGAAGTAGATTGCACCATATTCTTTCCGAGGAGTGGCTGGTGAGTTTGAAATGTCAGCCTTCTGGTTAGCAGTCAAGTGCCTTAGGCACTATGCTACCAAAGCTCCGAGGAGGAAGTGAGAGGGGAACTATTGCATTAGGTTTAAACTGTAGTCAATGTCATGAGATAACGTGTGTGAACTGTTGTATGGAAAGTGAATTTGCTCTCTAAACTTTCACCCAAATCACAATTAAAAAAAAAGAAGTGTCTTTTGGATCTGGGCTTCCTATGCTTTGAACCTCCTAGACCCAGGAGACAGAGCTATAACATCAGAAACAGCACAGGTTAACATGAAACGGCAGCAGAGAAATGGCAGCAGCAGAACCAGGAGACCAGCACAAGATGGTACAGTGGGCTTCTTGGGCCATAGGAGCAAGGCAGCTACAATGGGCATGCTGACCCGCTGAGTGGGGTGCCTCCAGGTACTTACTGGCAGAGCTAAAGAGCTTTGTAATATGTGAGCAGGTACATGCCAGGTCATGGTGCCAAAGGCCAGAGAGCCTGCGGGGGTGAGGGAGAGTCCACTTGTTGTCACAGCCAATGCCCTAATTGAAGAATGGTATCCTGAGTGGTTTCTGATCCTGAATTGTAACCTGTTACTTCCCTAATAAGCCCTATAACTATGAGTATGGTCTGTGAATTCTGTGTGGGCATTATAACAAATTATCAGTCCCAGCAGAGCAGTGGAGAATACCATGGGAGGGAAGGCTGGTATTAGAATTATGTTTGACCTCCTTCTCCAGGGATCAGCCTTGTGCTGATGTTGATGTTGATTCTCCTCTCCCCTCATGCTTAGGAAAATCACGCTGTGATTTTTACGTATGCAAGTAGCATACATGTTCATTTTTTTTTTTTTTTGCCAGCTGTGTTGGGAGGCAGGTATTTTTGTAAGTGTGCTATGTTAATTTTTTTACAACAACATGTAAGAAAAAATAACTTGCAGTAGGACATGGTTAGCAAAAAAATAAATATTTGTATAAAAATATGGTATATCCAATCTGCTATACTATGTTAACTGCTTAAAGAATATGAAGACTATCTGACCTATCATAGTTATTTAGTTGGAAAAGGAAGATATATTTCAAGACATTTTCAGATAATTGTGGATATTCTTCTTTGATGCTATGACAAAACCTCAAATAGTAGTGTTCTTAAAGATTAATTACAATGTAGAATCAAAAATAAAAATTTCACACTCTTCACACATTAAATCCACTGGTCTTTCACTTTGACTAGATCTTTTACCCAGGAATGATTTAACATTATGCATTGGTCTTTTGGGAATATTGATTTACTGAGTCATGCTTATCTTCCAGATATTGATGTGTTTTCTTATATATCATCAAACAATCACAGTCATTAAAATCACCTGAGTTTACAAGAAAGATCATGGGAGGTTGTCATCAGGCTCACAGTAGTGGATACGAGTTTTCCAAAATTTCATTTTCATCATTGGCAACAAAATTCTTTTCTTTTCCTTGAGTGACACTCACTGTGTTCATTTTCTATGAAATGTCTGCCATATACCAGAGTTTGTATAATTGTAATTTGCCTATCAGTCATTCTTTCAAATAAAAAGGTATTCTGCCAAAAAGGCAACTAGTTCAGCACCCAACTCAAATAGTCATACAAATGCTTTTCTTAAGAGAAAACTACTGTATTTGTAGTATGGAACACAAGTACTTTGTTGTTGTTGTTGTTATTTGCCATCGAGTCGGCCCGGCCCCGACTCATAGCGACCCCTCCTTGGGTTTCCGAGGCAGTATCACTACGGAAGTAGGATTGCCCAACCTTCCTTCCGAGGAGTGGCTGGTGGGTTTGAACCGCCAGCCTTCTGGTTAGCAGTCAAGTGCCTTAGACACTATGCTACCAGAGCTCCTACAAGTACTTTAGCTGTGTAAAATTTTAGGGGGCAAACCCCAAGGCTGCCCTCACTTCTAATACCAAATGCAAGTTGGAGAACTTCAGATTTGACAATTCACTAAGAAGGACTCACCAAATTCACTGAAAGCTGTTTATGCTCAGTTATGAGCCACGGGAAGAGTCTCATGGGGCAGTGTCAGGAGAGTTCCAGTGCAGACCTTCCAGTTGTCTTCTCCCAGTGGAGTCATGGATTGCGTTAACTTCTTCTGGCAATTGTGTATGGCAATTGTGTATGGCAATTTACATGGAATATTGGCTACTAGGGAAGCTCACTCAAACCTCAGTGTCTAGAGGATTCTTTAGGACTGTCACATAGACATAATCAACTGCGCAAGAGGCTAACCTCAGTCTCCACCCTCCCTGAGGTCCTACATGACCCAGAGCCCCCATGGTAAATCTCAGTTAGATTTAAAAAAAAAAAAAAAAAACTTTTATTTTATCTCAGGTAAACAAAGATACTTTTATCAGGCAGGACATTCCAAGGGTTTACAGATTAACTTCTAGAAGCTGAGGGGCAAAGCCAGATCTCTTTGTGGACAAGTAAGTATGCTGTGCCATCACATAGACTATTAAGAGACATGTACTGAGGGGACACAGTTTAATGAAAACAGAAATTTGTACTGTTTCATTTGTGAAATTCTTATGTGGAACTGGTATTTTTTATTTAGCTGAAGCCCATGGTGGTGAAGAACATTCAATGCTACTGTCTTGATTGTGCCAAGCGCCACCAGTTTTGCCCTCCATAGCTTTTGCATCATCAGTGCAAATGTCAGCCCGGTGTTTTTGGCAAATCATGACTTAGTAATTTTATGAAAATAATTTTGACTATACCCCTTTGGAATCTCTGCTCTCTCAAGGCACTCCATTTGTGTCTTTCTCATAGTATTTGCCAGTTGTTTTTACCTTATATTGTAATACAGTATCATCTCCTAGAGAACATAGGCCGCATGTTATTTGAGGTTAGGCTAGTTGTCTTTACAGTCTCTATTAACCTAGCACAGTGCTTTGCACATAATAGAAAGTCAGTAAATATTTGCTGAATTGATGTGTAGAACATTTTCATTAGTTTAGGCACTCTAGGTTTTTTTTGCTTCAATTTTTAAAAACTGCAAATAAAGGATGACTGCTTTTCTTCTGGGATATAGCTTTGTTTTTTCTTTTCTTTTGTTATGTAGAAAAGTTGTCAAATCAAGGCTGGTTTCCTAAAAACTTGAGATTCTCCTTTGTTTACATTTACCTCATTAACATTATAATTGATGATCAAATTCTGCCTTCTTTCATCCTGACTACCTCTGCCTTAGTTCAGGTATTCCCACTCCAGATTAGTGCAACAGACTAACCTCTCTGCTTCTAGTAGTCTAATCACTACTACGTACCCGTGAGCTATTTGAAATGCAGATAATAATAGGTAATGTATAGTATTTTCCCTGTGTAAGCACTCTTTTAACACATTTAATCCTCAACAACCTTGTGAGGGAGGTACTCCCTTGCTGGAAGGTGGCCCAAAGAAGTGATAAAGGAAGTCTGGTTCTAGAGTTTCAAATTCTATTCAACAACTGTGCTACATTGTCTCTCACTGCTTAGCATAAGATTCCTTGGTTCCTCTTCTTGTCTACAAGCTAAAGGTCAAGATCCTAAACATGGCATTTAAGACCTTCCACGTCTCATTTCTGCTTTCTTCTAGGACCTGCTTCATGGTGCAGGCTCTAGCAGTTCCAATCTGCTTATAGTTTAGCTACACACCATACTGTATATGCCTCTGTGCCTTAACCGATGCTGCCCCATCTGCCTGCACTCAACTAATCTGAAGAATTCCTACTTATCTTTTGATACTCAGCTCAGGTGGTAGTTCGGAAGTTTTTCTTGGCCTTTCTCCTTTGTTCCTCATTCCACTAGGTAAACTCATTGCCATCTAGTCAATTCTGACTCACAGTGACCTTATAGGACAGAGTAGAAGTGCCCCATAGGGCTTCCAAGGCTGTAAATCTGTACGGAAGCAGAAGCAGACTTCCTCCTCTTTCTCCTGCAGAACAGTGGGTTCAAACTGCTGACCTTTTGGTTAGCAGCCAAATGCCTTAACCACTGTGCCATCAGAGCTCCTTCTCTACTAGATAAAAAGCTGACAATATAAAGGCAGAGACAAATACAAACAGGTAACTATTACAGGTATGTTAAGTATAGTAAGAAAGATGAATTTTAAAGTATAATGAAGATAAATATTTTGCAGTTAGCAATTTGGTCATATATCCCAAAGTAGACTCTTAGGGCAGGACTCATATTATACCAACAGTATTTGATACATAAAAACTGAAATGTTTTCTGAATAAATGAATAATACTCCTAGATTGTATTTCTTGTTTCATAATATCCTCCAAGACCTCAAAATCATGAAAAGTCTTCTTTTAATAGACTTTTGTAAAAGTGGAAAAATAGATTTCTAGGATTTAATATGTTTAGATAATGAATTTTCTTTCTTTCTTTTTTTGCAAGCTTCTTGCCCGACTTGAAGGTAGAAGTTCCTTGAAAGAAATAGAACCATACCTGTTTGCTGATGAAGAATCACCTGTCCATGGTAAAAAAAAAAAAAAAAAAAAAAAAATGCAAACGCAAATATAGTGTAATAAGTTTGATAAAGCAAGTTTTTTTTATCCTCCACATACAGCTATATATATTCACATACTCCTGGCAAGAAGTTATGTAGTTAAACTATATAATTAAACAGACCATAATAGAAAAATTTTAAGTTGGATATCTTTAACCCTTCTTTTATTTGTGTCTGATGTGATGAATTTTGGCTAATCTGTGTTAAGTCTTTAGAATAAACTTTTTCCTCCCTCTATTGTCCCAATATACAGTGTTTATGAGAGATTTTTAAATTGTGGTTTTTTTTTACATTTTATACTTCTTAAGAAGTTCGTAGAATCACAGGAAAATCCATAGGTACCACTTCTCCACTATGGAAAACATAAAGAAGGTAGTATGCCATGGTTTTTTTTTTTTTTTTTTTCAATTTAACAATTTCATTAACATGTAAACTGTATACCATACAATTGACCCATTTAAGTGTACAATTCTATGATTTTCCATATATTCACACTGTTAAATATTGCAGCCATCATCACAATTTTCAAATATTTTTATCATCCCCAAAAGAAACCCTGTACCTATTAGTTGTCACTCCCTATTTCCCCCCAACCCTCTTCTTCTTGTTGTTAGGTGCTGTCGAGTCATCTCCAACTCATGGCAGCCCTGTGCACAGCAGAGCAAAACACTACCCAGTCCAGTGCCACCCTCACGACCCTTGCTATACCTGAGCCCATCATTGTAGCCATTGTGTCAATCCATCTGATTGAGGGCCTTCCCCTTCTTCGTTGACCCTCCACTTGCCCAAGCATGACATCCTTCTTCAGGGAATGGTTCCTCCTGACAACATGACCAAAGTAGGTGAGACAAACTCTGGCCATTCTCGCTTTTGGGGACCATTCTGGCTGTAATTCTTCCAGGACAGATCTGTTAGTCCTTTTAGCAGTCCATGGTACTCTTAGCATTCTTCTCCAAAACCACTCAAAAACATCAACTCTTCTTCCGTCTTCCTTATTCATTAAACAGCTCTAACGTGTGTAAGAGGTGATTGGCTTGGGTTAGGGGTACCTTAGTCTTTAAGGAGACATCTTTTCTCCATTATTTGAAAGAGGTCTTTTGCAGCAGATTTGCCCAATGCAATATGTCGTCTGATGTCTTGACTGCTCCTTCCATTGGTGTTGATTTTAGAACCAGTAATGTGAAATCCTTGACAAATTCAATCTTTTCTCCATCCATCATGAAGCAGTTTATTGGACTAGTTGTGAGGATTTTTGTTTTCTTTATATTGAGGTATAATCCATACTGCAGACTGTAGTCTTTAATCTTCATCAGTAAGTGCTTCAAGTCATCCTCACTTTCAGGAAGCAAGGTTATGTCATCTGTGTATCACAGGTTCTTAATGAGTCTTCCTCCTATCCCAATGCCACTTTCTTCATATAATCCAGCTTCTTGGCTTATTTGCTCAGCATATAAATTGAATAACTATGGTGAGAAGATGCAACCCTGATGCTCTCCCTTCCTGATTTTAAACCATGCAGTATCCCCTTGTTCTATTCAAACAACAGCCTCCTGATCTATGTATAGGTTCCTCATGAGTCCAATCAAGTGTTCTGGAATTCTTCTCAGTGTTATCCATAATTTGTTATGATTCACACAATGGAATGCTTTTGCATAGTCAGTGAAACATAAGTAAACATCTTTCTGGTAGTTTTGCTTTCAGCTAAGATCCATCTGACATCAGCAATGATAACCCTTGCTCCACGTCATCTTTGGGATCCAGTTTACATTTCTGGAAGCTCTTGGTCAATATATTGCTGCAACCGTTTTTGAATTATCTTCAGTAAGATTTTACTTACATGTGATATTGATGATACTGTTCAATAATTTCCACATAACGTGGGATCACCTTTCTTTGGAAAGGGTACAAATATGGATCTCTTCCAGTCAGCTGGCCAGGTAGGTGTCTTCCAAATCTCTTGGCAGAGCCAAGTGAGTGCCTCCAGTGCAGCATCCATTTATTGAAACCTCTCAGTGGGTATTCCGTCAGTTCCTGTAGCCTTGTTCTTCGCCAGTTCTTTCAGTGCACCCTCAACTTCTTCCTTCAGTATCATTGGTTCTTGATCATATGCCACCTCCTGAAATGGATGAACATCTACTATTCTTTTTGGTGTAGTGACTCTGTGCATTCCTTCCATCTTCTTTTGATGATTCCTGCATCATTCATTATTTTGCCCATAGAATCTTTCAATATTGTAACTCGAAGCTTAAATTTTTTTTCAGTTCTTTCAGCTTGAGAAATGCCAAGTGTGTTCTTCCCTTTTGGTATTCTAACCCAGGTCTTTGCACATTTCATTATAATAATTGACTTTTTCTTCTTGAGCTGCTCTTTTCAATACCAACCCCCTTTAGCCCTATAAAACCTACTTTCTGAATCTATAGATATTCCTCTTGTGAACATTTCATATAATTTGAATCATACAGTGTGTGGTCTTCTGTAACACTTTTTTCACTTAGTGAAACCTGTGAGAGCTGGAACTAAACAGAACTGCCTTGTTTTTCTGGATCTTGCAAGTTTTCCACTTTTAACAGGGTGCAGTATTACCACGTTTTATAGCTCTCTATTAGTGGAAAATTTTCTGACAGGTCTCTGCCTTACACACATTCTGGCTTTTGCAGGTTTTACTGTTTAATGTATTCAGGGTTCACCCACATTGTTGCATGTATCAGTACTTTATTCCTTTTTATTGCAGAATATTTATTTCAATGTAGATATACTGTACTTTATCCATTCATATGTTGATGGACATTTTTGGTGGTTATGAGTAATGCTGAGATGATTATTCTTACACGAGTTTTTGTGCTGACATGTTTTCAGTCCTCTTGGTTATATACTTTGGAGTGGAATTGCTAGGTCATTTGGTAACTCTGTTTATTTAACCTTTTGGGGAACTGCCAAACTGTTTTCCAAAGCAGCTATACATTTTACATTGCCACCAGTATTTTGTGAAGGTTCCAACTTATCTACATCCTCACCAACATTTGTTAAGTAGAGGAACAAAAATTTTATTTACAGATCATTTTCATAAAGGGTCCATCTGAGTGAATATGGGCACATGTGATTCTATATCCATTTAACTTTGTGAACCTGAACACAAGTGTGTGCATACTCATGCATTTGTGTCCCATAAGTCCCTGGGTCTGTACCTGTGCTAGTAAGGAGTTAAGAATATATACTCAATTTTTGGCAGTGGTGACTTACTAAAGAGTGGTGCACAAATAGAAAAGTAGTTTATATTTTCATTTTATTCCTTAGATACTTCTGCATTATTTTAATTTTATTTAATGACAGCATATAAATATTACTTTATAAAAAGGGGAATTTGTCTTAGTTACCTAGTGCTGCCATAACAGAAATACTACAAGTAGGTGGCTTTAAAGAACAAATTTATTTTCTCACAGTTCTGGAAGCTAAATATCTAAATCAGAATCCCAGCCATGTCAGTTCTTTCTGTGAACCCCTCCTAATTTCTGGTGTCTACCAGCAATTCTTGGTGTTCCTTTGCTTGTAGACAAGTCCTTACATGGCGTCTGTCTTTCCTGTGTGTATGTGGGTATCTCTATTTTGCTCTTTTTATAACTCAGAAGTGATTAGGTTTAGGACCTGCCCTACTCTGGTATGACTTCATTAGTGGAAGAAAAAGAAAAGTGCTGTTTCCAAACAGGATCAAATCCAAAGGTACTGGGACCAGGACTTTAGTATATATTTTGGAGGACACAATTCAATCAATAACAGGATTTTTTTGAATTACTGAAGTTGGTAAAACAACAGTATTTAAATTTTAGCATATAAATGAACATTGTTCTTCTCTTAGCTAAAAATGCCTATGGTATTTCATATAACCATAGCACCTGTCACTAACTTGTAGTGGTATATGATGGTCCCAATATCTCCATATCCTATAGACAGTTGTTATTTTATTATCTGTTAGATTATAGGCATCCTACTGAGTATGTGTCTCATTGTTTTGATTTGCATTTTTCTGATGGCTAATGATGTTAAGCATTTTTGCATTTGTTTATTAGCCATTTGTATCTTCTTTGGGGAAGTGTTTATTCATACCCTTTGCCTATTTTTAAAATTGGATTGTTTGTCTTTTTATTATAGATATTTAAGATATATTACATTCTGGATAGCAGAACAAAGATTATATATGCATGCATACACACACATACACATATTTTTTTTTCCTTCCCAGAAGGTCCAGTTGTGTGGGTAAGGGCACATGTGACCTTGCATGCAAATAACTTTTACATGTGATTGGCAAATATTTTTCCCATGCTGTGGATCATCATTTCACTTTTTTGATGGTGTCCTTTGAAGTAGAAAAATTAATTTTGATGAAATCCAGCTTATCTGTTTTTTTCTTATGTTGTTCATGCTTTTGGTACCTTATCTAATAAATCATTGCTTAGTCCAAGGTCATGAAGATATATGGCTCTGTTTTCTTCTAAGAGTCCTATAGTTTAGCTCTTTACTTTAGGTTTGTATTTTATTTTGAGTTAGTTTTTGTATATGAAATGGAATAGAGGTCAAGTCTCATTCTTCTGCGTGCAGCTATCCAGTAATGTTTCTAACATGCAGCAGTATTTCTTGGAAGATTATTCTTTCCCCATTGAATTACCTTGTCTTGTCAAAACCAATTTACCATAAATGGATGGGTTTATTTGTGGAGTATCAGTTGTATTCCACTCATCTACCATTATGCTAATACCACACTGGCTTTTTTTTTTTTTTTAATTCTTACTGTGATTTGGGTGGAAGTTTACAGAGCAAATTCATTTTCCATACAGCAGTTCATACAAATTTTATCTCATGACATTGGCTGCAATTTCTCAAAATGTAACAGCTCTCTTTCCACTTCCTCCCCATAGTTACCGCTTCCCTGTATCCTTCCCTCCCACGCACTCCTGCCCCCCAAGCTGTCTCCC